AAACATTTAAAATCCTCCAAGGAAACAAGGTCAGACAATTTGAGTGTTTTCTGGAGCAGATTCCAGGACCAAGGGGCATTGTGACAAAACGCAGCCTTCCCAAATGCAATGAAGGCATGAGGGACTGACAACAATAAAAAGTCCTAGAAGAAGGCAGTTTAAATAACCAGGGAGAAGCCCTAAGATGGTTTTGTAGATGAAAATATGCCAGTGGAGCCATCTGTGGTAATATAGTGATGTCAGTCCAGACCCTTCATATAGAAGACAGTGATGGGTGAGAGATTTGGCATTTAGAATGAAACGCAAGGCACCATGATATACAGTGTCAACACCTTAAGGGATGCAGCAGGGGCATGCATATAAAGAACATCACCATAATCGATCACAGGGAGGGAGGTAGTCATGACAAGTCTCCTGTTGGTAGCGAGGTTAAAACATTGCTTATTTCGCAAATAAAATCCTAGCTTAATCCTGAGTTTTTTGACGAGTCTATCCAAATGAATGGAAAAAGTTAGTCTGGAATCAAGCCAGACATCAAGACATGTATAGGAATCCCCTTGTTCTATGCACTTTCCCTCAGATGTGGCGATGTTAGGAGCAGGAGGCCTGGAGTGTAATCTGGAGAAATGCATGACTTTTGTTTTACTCGCATTTAAGACCAGCTTAAGGTTTTTAAAATTGGCCTGAATCGAGGTAAACAATTTTAGTAGGTGCTGGAAAGCGCAAGACAGAGAGGAAACACATAAATAAACAATTGCATCATCTGCGTACAGATGAAAGTTAGAAGAATCAGAATCTATTATAGCTCTGCCAATGTTGTTGATATAGATACTGAACGAGATGGACCCCAGAATGGACCCTTGGGGCACACCCCAGGCAATTGACTTGGGAGATGACCTCTGCCCTTCAGCAAGGACTGTCTGGGACCTGTCAGAAAGATCATTTACAAACCAGTTAACCGAATTGAGACTCAAGCCAATGTGTTGAACTAAGATGGTGTGGTCCACAGAGTAAAATGCCTTGGATAAATCAATAAGCACTGCTGGGCAGTGTTTATGATTATCAAGCTTTTGAATGAAGTCATTCAGCACTTTGGAGGCAGCAATTATTGTGCTGTGACCAGATCTAAAGCCAAACTGAACAGAGCTAAGCTGACCACTTTTTCATAAAAACTCCTTTAACTGGTCATTCACCAGGGATTCCATAATTTTTGCAACCACTGAGAGTTTTGAAATTGGCCGATAGCTGTCAAGGTCAGAGGGATCCCCTCCTTTAGAAATGGGCAAAACATAGGCCTCCTTCCAAAATTTAAGGATAGAATTAGTGGAGAGGGATAAATTAGAAATACATGCCAGTAGATCAGCTATAAGTTCTGCTGAGAGTCTTAGTACATAGGGTTCCAGGCCGTCAGGGCCTGGAGGCTTCATTGAGTCAATAGCTTTTTAAGCCTTGAGGACACAAGCAGTAGAAGTGTGTTCAAAAGCAAAACTATGGGAACCTGGAGCCTCTTCAGCCGTAGAAGAACTGGGCAGGACACCAGATTTCAAACCAGGGAACGGGCGATGGAATAAGTATCCAGCAGAAACAAAGTGTTCATTAAAAAGTCCTACAATAGACTGTTTATCAGTTATTGCCTGGGAACAATGAATAATTTGTTGGTGGAGTGAAGCAGAGGCAGAAGGGTTAAGAGACTTAATCCTTTTCCAGAATTTGGAAGGGTTGTTCAAGTTTTCAGATGTCAATTTGAAATAATATTCAGATTTGAGTTTCCTGATGGAGGCAGTACATTTGTTCCAGAGACACCGAAATCTGGACCAAAGACAAGCAGAATTTGATTCTCTGGCTTTGGCCCAAGCTTGTTTTCGAATTTAAATAAATCAGCGAGCTCAGAAGAGAACCAAGGGTTATCTCCCTTTTATTCTGTATTTGATAAAAGGATCCTGTTTATTTGTGGTGAAAAGGAAGACAAAATGAAAATAATTCCATGCTGTATCTACATTAGGGATCAGACTAATTCGATCCAAGTCACCACAAAATAAATCATGTAGAAACGCCTGTTCAGAAAGCCATTTGTAGTTTCTTTTTCGTACTGCTCGAGGGCATGTTTTAGGGAGCCTGGTATCTCGAACACAGGCCACAACACAGTGGTCACTGAGATCATTTGCCAAAACTCCAACAGAAGAGAATTTATAAGGATTATTTGTGAGAATTAAGTCCAAGAGAGTAGATTTACTTGGAAGTTTAAGGTTAGGGCAGGTAGGGAGATTGACAAGCTGGGATATGTTCAACTTACTACATATCCCTTTTAGGCCATCTGAGGCAGTGGTGAGCCAATCCCAGTTCAAATCCCCCAACAATACCAGCTCAGAATTGCTCAATTCAGCCAGCACATTTGAGATAAAAGTCACTGATTCATTAGTAGCAGAGGGAGCTTTTGTAAGAACCAATAACTGTAAGAAATTTAAACAGTTTAGGATTAGAGAAGGATTTAATCACATTAACAGTCAATTTTGATTTAACATAGATCACAACTCCGCCACCCTTAGTTGAACGATCAGCACGTTGATTACAAATTGTAATCAACTACACTGATACAAGTGTCAGAAACTGATTTTTTAAAAGCCATGTTTCAGATTATACCAGGACATCAGGTTCAGAAGTTAAGACCCAGGCATGGACTAAATCAACTTTAGGTACCAAGCTTCTGACGTTCATATGCATAAATCCGAGACCATTTCTAACTTTGAAGTCAGCAAGAGTGGACAGGTTAGTGCAAGACGTGGGACCAGGATTAGACTCGACATTACATGATAGCAAAAGAAGCAACATCACAAGCACACGTGACTTATTCCTCAATACATCTGACAGGGAGTATACGTGGGAGGGATCACGAGAGGCACTAATCATTTGTAACATAGTGAAATTAGTCGGTTTTGCTTGTATATTTACATGCATAAGACCGAAGTTCACAGGTTTATCAACCAACTCAGTGCGTGACACAGTGCATGACAAAAGCAAAAGAAAATGTTTAACTGGCTACATTCAAGGCAGGTCGAGTTTAGAGTGGGACAGCTGCTCATTACAAAGGGCAGTGCAGCTATAAACCACTGACCATTTGAAGAAGCCATGCTGGAAAGGGGACAAATTGCAACTATTACAAGGGGCAAGTACAGAACGAAAAGATGACGAAAAGAAAAGGATTTAAAGCCACTTGTAGCGATAGGGCAAACAATGACAAAAGTAGTTTAGAAGCCCCACTGAGAAGTAATAATAATATTAGTACCAGGTCTCTATGAGGAGAAGAATAGGCCCTAGTAGACCTATTTGACCTCAGAGCTGGGTGGACAGTGCCCGGGGCGCAGTAGTAGGCCTCCGAGCTGGAAGGGAAGGGCCCCTGGGAGCAGTAGCAAACTGTAGGCCTAGTGCTGGATTGGTAGGCCCCAGGGAGGAGCAGCAGCAGTAGGCCTCAGGGCTGGATG